CGGGATCTTGGGCACGCACGCACACGCACCTGGCGTGAATTTAAGCCACCAGGTCCGGGATGCAAACCGCGGTTGACTACGTGGGAGTCCAGCGACATAGCCTTTATGCTAACTACTGGTTCCCTTTCCTTTTTTTTTTTTAACTGATTAGGATGGCTATTATATATTGGATTGTTGGAAAAGTCATGATATATTTTCAATATTTCCCTATGCAAAAATTGTCATGACTGTTCTGATAACCCAATATATATATATATATATATTTTTTTTTTTTGGAGAGGTTTTTGCTATAGGGTGTGTGTGCTCACCAGAAAGAGAGAAACAGAGACAGAAAGCAGGGAATCACCCCCGGGGGGATGGCCATGCGACAATCCCTTCTCTTCCATTCTCCCTTGGGATCTTGGACACACACACACACACGTGCCCAGTGTGAGTTTAAGCCACCAGGTCCGGGACTCAAACTGCAGTCGACTACATGGGAGTCCAGTGACATAGCATTACACCAAATGCTGGTCCTACAACCTAATACTTTAAAACTGAAGTGAGCACATATGACTGTTCTCATTTATTCTATTTTGCATGAGTTTTTATCCCCAAAATGTGTGAAAAAAGAAAATATGTCTTTTGATTTTCTTCCCATTGCCCCAGGAAAAGCATATCATCTAAGAGCCATGAATGCTTATTACAGAGCCCTTGTATGGCTCATCTTTGGCCCAAGCTCAACGCTGTAGTCAGTATTGCTGGTGTTTGCATTCATTTTCTTTTCTTTTTCATCTTTTTTAAAAAAGTTATTTACATTTAATCATGTCCTTACAATATACATTTCTTTTTCCAACACAAATACCATGCATGTCAATCAAGACAAAGATATTACTATATAGATTATCATCAGCAAATAGCTTCTTATTTTTTGTCAGTTAAGCATACTTTTACCAGTTTTTTCCTTCCCTTTTCCACTCCCCCTCCCTTCCATACGAAACTTTTTTTTTTTTCACATTTTATTGATTCACAAAAGATATTACACTAAAAGTATGGACAAAGCTAGCAACTAGTGACAAGTGCACTGTAATTTTCTTCTGAAACTTTTTTTCTCTCTCCATTCCCCTTTACTAAAGAGAGGTTATAAAGTAACTTATTTGTAAAAAAAAATTAAGTTAATCCTAATTTGGTCTGTTATTTGCAAAAAGCCCCATAAGAATTCAATTTCTGATGCAAGGCAACAGATACTATTGTATAATTGAACTTATGTAAATAACCGTTCTGCCACAAAATAACAATGCTCAAAAAATTTCCTAATTGGAAAGGGGTCAGGAAAGGAGAAAAGTTTATGGTTCAATTTTAAAAATTCTTTTAAAAAAATTTTTTTTTTAACAAATTGCTGAACCTATCAACAACTCAGAAGAAAACAAAAATCCTTAAATCTGGAAGACAAAGTATAGAAGAAAATCAATAATGTTTTAGAAAAAAATTGTAGAATTTTATTTTACCAGTTCAGTCTTATGCAATCTCTCTTTTGTTAAATTTGCAGTGTTACTGTGGTCTGACCTTTCCGTTAACATTCCACATTATTATTGATATTTCAGAACTTGTCCCTACCATTAAGGTGGCCTTTTTCTTGGTCATTTTTTGTTCTCTCATTTGTCTGTCTTTAGTTTTCCTGGTATAATACTCCCTTCAGAACTTTTTGAAGTGCTGGTCTGGTGTTGGTAAATTCTTTCAGGTTTTGTTTATCTGAGAATGTTTTTATTTTTTCTTCCCATATAAAGGTTAATCTTGCCAGATATAGTATTTTTGGTTGAAATTGTTTTTAACTTAACACTTTCACTATATTTTCCCATTTTTTTCCTCACTCGCATTGTTTCCGATGAGAGGTCTGCTGTTAGTCTGATGGAATATCCTTTGTAGGTAACTTGCTGGTTTTCTCTTGCCAATCTTAGTATCTTGTCTTTGTCTGTGGTTTTGGTCAGTCTGGCTATAATGTGTCTTGGAGAAGATCTTCTTGGGTTGATTCTATTTGGAGTCCTTTTTATTTCTTGGGACTGGATCTTTGAGTGCCTCGCTAGGTTTGGAAAGTTTTTTTGCAGGATTTCATGGAATAGATGATCAATGCCCCTGTGAGTCTCTTCGCCTTCTGGAATACCAATTTTATGGCTGTTTGGACGTTTGATATCCAGTATTTCTAATTTTTTGGGGAAATTTTCTCAGTCTTTGTAATGGATTTTTCTAGGCCAGCAGCTTTCTCTTCTATATCTGAGATTCTATTTTCTGTATGATCTAGTCTGCTTTTAATACTTTCAAGAGAGATTTTGACTTCCTGTATTATAGCCTTCATCTCTAACAAGTCCATTTGATACTTTTTTAAAGTGTGTATTTCCTCTTTTAGGTCTTGCAAGACTTTCCTCACCTCCTGGAACTTATCAGCTCCTTTCTCCTTTCTCTTTAGCAGTTCGTTGTCTCTCTTCTCTTCCATCTCTGTTAGCTTCATCATTATGAATATTCTAAATTCTTTATTAGACATTTCCATGATTTCTGTTGAACTGTCTGTGAATGAAGAAGAGTTATTCTTTTCCCTTGGAGGAGAGGTATTTTCTTGCTTGCTCATATTTCTTGTGGCCTTGCTGTGATTTCTTCTGATGGATGGTGTTTTTTTTTCCTAATTCATGAAGTTCAATCTGAGCATTCAGCGGCATGCAGAGGAGGAGATCTGGAATCTCTTTGCTGTTCCCTTTTTATCCCTTTCTGCAGCAGATTCAGTGGATATTGAGGAATATGTTAATGCTAATAGTATTTGGATATTTGGATATGGTTTCCTTAGATCTGTCACTCAAGTTTGTGGGCTGAATTATAAGTAGAAAATCTTTATTTCTTTTTTTTCCCTGAAATCACTAATTTTCAGGAGCCATGGAGGAGTATTCTCTTTTAGTGATTTTTTTCTTGGTCAGAGGTTCTATCTTCTACATCTGAGATTGGATCTTCTGTATGATCTAATCTGCTTTTAATATTCTCAAGGGATGTTTTGATTTCCTGTATTACAACTTTCATCTCTAATGGTTCCATCTGATTCTTTTTTATGGTGTGTATTTCCTCTTTGAGATTGTACAAGAACTTCTTCATTTCATGGAACTTATTGTCTCTTTTCTCCTGCATCTTCTAGAGCTCATTGTCTCTCTTCTTTTGCATCTTTGTTAGCTTTGTCACTATGAATAGCCTACATTTCTTATCTTACCTTTCCACAAATTTCATTGTACAGTCTGTGGATGACAAAGGTCTGTTATTTCCCCTGGGGGGAGAGATTTTTTTTTTTTTTTTTGGTTTCCCATATTTCTTGTGTGTTTGTAATGGTTTCTGATCACCTGATGGATTGTATATTACTTCTTACCTTCTTGAAGTTAATTCTGAGTGTTAGAGTCATGCAGAAAGAGATGACCTGCAATATTTCTGCAGTTTTGTTTCCCTGATCCTCACCAAGCAATCTGCACTTTTGTCAATGGAACTGGATATTACAAAGGCCTCACAGTTTCAAGGGTATAGGTTCATCTGGGCTGAGCTGGGGGGTTTCAACTAAGAATTCAGAGGTGTGTGAGACAAGATGATCTGTGCTTACTGCAGCTCCGTATTTCTACCAGCTGCTCACTTTGCAGGCTCTCTTCTCTGATTTTTTAGTCATTTGATGATATATTCACTTTTGGCTAATTTGTTAGAGATTTCTGCTGCCTATGCTTCAATTTACTTTGAGGTACTTCTATGCCTATTTCTCTACTACTGTGTTTTGCAACATGGTATCCACAAAAAGGAAATTTCAATTTAGATTTTTAAATATGAGTTTCTCCCTTTCTGGATCAGTTAAGTGAGGGGTGAGGTTTACTATGACCCTAAAAATATTCAGATATTTTGCTACTGTGCACCTAGACCTGCCTAGACACTGAATGTGTGGAAGATGAGAAGCAAAGTGAGAAAGTCAGATAAAAGAAAAGAAACAAAAAGAAAAAGACAAAAAAACAAACAGACAAACAAAAGACAAAAGAAAACAATGAAAAGAGAAAAATTTTTTAAAGAAAAAGATGAAAAAGTGAGAACTGTGTGGTGTGCTAGCATGCTGCATAAAATGGGCAGGTCTAGGCCCACCTCAGATGTACATGGATTCTGAAATTAGCAAGAGGAAGGAGAGATCATAGATAAGAGACAGTAACTACAGATTTTTTAAAAACGTGTGTGTGTGTGTGTGTATGAAAAATTTCAAGAGAAAGGGAGAGGGAAGTATTTCATGATGGGTGAAGTCTTTTAACAAGCAAAATGAGAAATAGTGATTGACTGTTTTAAAAAATTATAATAATAATAATTATTGGGAAATGCATGGAAAAGACTTTGAATGATAAAGCGGGGAGATCGATGCCTCTGTATTGACTGACATGCATGGCATTCCCTTTTGAAAAAGCAATGGAAGTCAATGTAAAGTTATATGTAATCCAATGTAATATAAAGAAGATTATGATGATAATAAAAAAATAATTGTTAAAAAAAAAAAAAAGAGAGAAAGGGAGAGAGAGAGATAGAGATGGAAAGAAGACAGAGACCACCCTACCTGGCTTTTTTCTGAGTGTTGGGCCGGAATGAGAGGTTTAGGGCAGAGCCTTTCTGGTTCAAGGGGCAGGACTAGGTTTACCTCAGATGCACTTGATTTCTGGCTTTTCTCTGGGTGTTGGGTCACGATATGGTGCTTGCATTCTCATGGGCTTCGAAACTGAAAATCCCATGTCTTCTATTGACAAAAAAAAAAAAACAAAACTATTTGCTGTTGTGTATAGTCATGTCTTTCTCTTGACTGATATCCATGATAATCATGCTGAAAAAAGAAATGTTATACACTGTAAAGATATATGTGATTAAATGTGATATAAAAATAAATAAAATAAAATACCTAAAAAAATCCCATGTCTCCTTAACTCTGTCTCCTCTGTGAGGTTCCTGTGAAAATAACAACATTATGTAAACAGTGGGTGGTTAAACAGTATTTATTGAATCACTGATAACAAAAGAAACGGTTCTATGTTTCATTTTAGTTAATTGAAATAGAGAGGAAGTTGGTGTCTCAGGGGAGAGACCCGCATCACTGCTCATCTGCTTCCTTAGCTCCAGCAGCGGTGTTGGCAGCATCTATGGTCGTGGTGATTGTGGTGGTGGGGATGCAATGGCAGAATCTCTGCTTTTCTTGATGTCACTCTTGGTAGAAGTAGCAGCATATCTGATATGTCTTGGAGTCATGGCACTGGTGATGGTAGAGTTGATAGGAGTGACATTTGGTATAGCAGAGTTGGTGTTGTCAAAAGGGCTGATTTTGTTCTTGGAGAGAACAGACAACATATGTTTTGATTGCATCATGGGACTAGAGTTCTTGGCCATTTTTAGCATTTCTGGCGTGTCTTCACCAAGGACGTTGGGTATTTCATGTCGCAAGTAGCTTTTTATCAGTTGAACCACTTTTGGCCCAAGACAACATATTTCCTTCTTGCATTTCTGTATCTCCTTTTCATTTGCATTGCAACTGCCCTTGCATTTTCCAAAACCCAGTAAGCATCTTCTCTGGATAAGAAATTCTGCACAAAGAAAATAGAAAACCATTGGGCCAAGGTTGATAACTAGAGATGATGTCAATGTTGCTGGATGGAGATAAATGAAGTATAAAAAAATTTGCTAAACTAAATTTTAAGTCTAGTGTTGGAGGATGTTAATGGAAGCACTGGGACAGACCATGAGGGTCTCTGTAGACCTATTTAGTCTCCCTTTTTTGAATAACTTTGAAAGTTTAAGGACACATAGTGGAAAAATGCATACTTAGCCAAATCATTTGCTTTTAGGAAAGGATTTTAGACCTCTAATTTAACAATGTAGGTTTTTTTTTTTTTTGAGAGAGGTTTTTGCTATAGGGCACATGTGCTCGCCAGAAAGACAGAGAGACAGAGAGCGAGAAATCACCCCACCCCCCCACCCCCTCAACTACATGGGAGTCTAGCGATGTAGCCATTACAAGAAGTGCCAGTCCCCAACAATGTGGACACTTTTAGGATATTACTATTCCATCCCACAATTGTAAGAAATAAAAAAGAGTAAGAACTGTCATAAAACTAATACAAGAATGGCAAAATAAAATCAATAGGATTTTTAAAAAAAGATTTATTTATTTAATTGTATTTATTATTATTATTATTTTAAATTTGACCAGAGAGAGAGAAAGAGAGTGAAAGAAAGTAAGAAATCCAACTTACAGGTCTGGGACATGAACGATGGTCAGTCATGACTGAAAGGAGAAATGGAGGAAGAAGGATTGTAGCATGTCCATGCCCTGTTGGGGAGTATTTTCTTTCTCTCACTCTCTGGAGAGCATGCATGCTCTCTGGCAATAAAAAAAAAAACTTCTTTTTTAGATACTCTGAGATATACAATACATTATTAGCTATTTATATGAGTTTGGTACCTACTAAATTACAGTTAGTCTACTGTGCTTTATAGCAATAAAAGGCGTTCCTATTATCTATCTATAATTTTGCTTCTGTTAACCAACATCTCTCTATTTATCCACCCTTCCCCAACTTTCAACCTTTCCCAGTCTCTAGAATTCATTTTTCTGCTCTCCACTTCTACAAGGTCATCCTTTTAAGTTCCCATATTTGAGAACATGTGATACTTCTCTTCCTGTGCCTGTCTTATTTCACTTCACAATAATGTCTTCTAAGCTTACCCTTGTTACCTCAGATAACAAGAAATCATTCTTTTTAATTGTTGAATGATAGTCCCTTGTACACATATTTGTGTAGAATTGAAGTTCAAAGTGGTTAAATTACTTTATCCAACACAATAGTCATACTTGCTGTTGGTAGTACCATTCTCCTTGGGTCTCAGAACCCTAAACAACATTAGAAACATCGTTGACTCTTACTTTCCCTTCCCTGACCCATTGTTAATTATTTTAAATATCTGGGAGATAGTTGTATTGTGCAAAAAGTCTCAATGCTTCTCTCTGTTTTTCCAAAACCAATGACCAGTTCTCTGGTTCAGCCTATGGCTATAATGTATTTCTTGATGCCCTAATGGTAGTTTGACTGTTTCTAAGAAGACAAAGACTGAGAAAGGGAAGAAGACTTTAAGAACCTTAATATGTTGAGATAGAGAACATTGACCCAGAACTGTTTACTGGATCCCAATAGATTTTTCTGAGCACGATAGTAAGGAGTTCATTTTTTCTAAACCAAGAGATAAACTGATGGAAACCTTTGCTTCAAGACATGGGTTAAATTAGAATAGAGCTAAAATGAAGTGGACCTGGACTGAGTCTCAGAATGATAGATATATACACGGCAGAAAGGGTGTTAAATACACCCAAATTACCCTGTTTTCCTTGTAACACTCTTAGTGTCTCCATGAATCTAGGTTGGCGTATATTAGGATGCATTGGGGATGGTACATGTCTTAAACCCTTCAGCCATCTGTTTGAGCAGTTCATCTTTCGTTATTTCTTTGAATTTCCATTGTCATGGACAGCTGGGTCTTTGCTTCCTTACACTGACCCCTCTTAAACCCAAGAATCTACATTACCTGTATTCACCTGGTTCTGTAGCATAAAGCTGGCAAAGAGAGGAAAGAGGAGCTTCATGGCTGGATGATAAAGAGGAAGCCTTGGGTCTGGGTGGGTGATCTTGAAGTCCAGTCTTTATTGACCTCTTCATGGCCTCCGGCTATAAGCAGTGATGTGCAGCCAAAGGAGGTTTGTGTGCTGCTCATAGTACTTATGTTATTTCTGATTCTGTTTGATAGCATTTCTCAAATGCTTCTATGCAAGGAATTTCCTTGATCCTAGGAGGAAACATAAGCTAAAGAAAGAGTCCTTTGTACTTCACCTTCCTAATGTTGGAGTTACACATATGATTGCTATTTTTCAGCCCAGTTGTGCCTAGAATTGACACTTGGTACATGAGAATCAGAAGAGTTGGAGGAGGCTAGAGACTCTATCTTGTTTGTACAGGCGTCTCCAGTAGCTAGCATGATACATACAGATTCACCTAACATGTTTGTTGAATAAGTTTGTTGGAGGCAGCTTTTTTTTTTTTTGGAGAGGTTTTTGCTATAGGGCACTTGTGCTCACCAGAAAGACAGAGAGAAAGAGAGACAGAAAACGAGAAATCACCCCCCCGGGGGGATGGCCACGCTGCAATTCCTTCTCCATTCTCCTCTTGGGATCTTGGGCACACACACACACGCGTCCGGCATGAGTTTAAGCCACTGGATCTGGGACTAGAACTGCGGTCGACTTCTTGGGAGTTCAGAGACATAGCCATTACACTAACTGCTGGTCCCTAGGCAACTTTTGTGATAATGTCAACTTAAACAAAAATTTTTTTAGAGAGGTTTTTGCTATAAGATGCGTGCGCTCTGTGGAGAGACAGAGAGGCAGAAAGCGAGAAATTACCCCCCGGAGGTATGATCATGCCGCATTTCCTTTTCCTCCAGTCTTCTCTAGGATTTTTGGCACACACAAACATGCATCTGCCTGAGTTTCAAGTCACTGGGTCCGGGACTTGAACCACAGTTGACGTTGTGAAAGTTCAGTGATGTAACCATTATGCCATCTGCTGGTCCCTCAGCTTTTGAGTTTATAATCATTCTTACATCCTCCAGAAGCAGTAATATAATACATTGCTTGGATCCCTTGATTGTAACTGACTGATCCAGGAAAAGAGAAGAATCAAGCCTACCAATCAGATGCTTTTCCCTAATAATTTTTCTTTTCTTTTAAAAAAATTATTTAATTATTATCATTATTTTTAATTTGATCAGACAGAGATAGTGAGTGAGAGAGAAAGTGAGAAAATAAGCCACCAGATCTGGTTCTTCAATCGGAGTCAGCCATGTGGGAGTTCAGCATCTCAACCACCATACCACCTCTGGCCCCATGATTATTCTTCTTCTTTTTTTTTTAATATTTATTTAATTTTATTTATTCATTCATTTATTTTTTAATTTGACCAGAGAGAGACAGAGGTTGAGAGTGAGACAAGAAATGAGAAAGCAAGCCACCAGATTCAGGACTCGAACTCTGGTCGGCCATGTGGGAATGTCCAGCACCTTAACCACCACACCACCTGCTGGTTCCTGCTTTTTTTTTTTTTTTTTAAGTTTTGTTTTCTATTGCCAGAGTGTCCCGACCCACAGGACAGTCGAACAGGTTTCCTAAGGGAAGGAGTTAGAGACAGGACGAAAGGCTCAGTGTTACAACACGGAGACGATACAGTGTTACAACTCTTCAGATGATACAGTGTTACAACTCCGCACACGCGCCCGGCGTGAGATTTAAGCCACCGGGTCCGAGACGCGAACCGCGGTCGACTACGTGGGAGTCCAGCGACATAGCCATTACGCTAACTGCTGGTTCCCCCCAGTGTTACAACTCTTCAGGGTCGTCCGTTTATTGTGGGCAGCATGGAGATGACACAGTGTCACAGCTCTTCAGGGTCTTCAGGTTTGTCTGGTGATTATGGGCCAGTGATCATGGTTATATACATGTTGGTGGGCAGTGATTGGTTAAATGAAGGATTGTAAAAAGTGGGTTATGATTGGTTGCTTTTGTGGACCAATCATGAGGTGTCGGATATGCAAATCTGAAGGATTCTAAGCTCACCGATTTGCTATGGGAAGTGGCCAATCAGAGTATGGTTTTGAAGGTGAGGTTTTGAAAGGGAGCCAATTGTGGCCTTTGGCATTGTGTAATCGTTTGCTTTCTGAGAAACCGAAACCTGATGACCTTGGCAGACTCGCTGGTGCGCAGCCTCCCACATTGGAGGGCACATAAATGAACATGAGAGAAAGAGAGGAGAAGCCTCCAATGGGAAATGGTCATGCCACAATCTTTTTCCCTCCATTTCTCCATCTCATCAGGATTTTGGGCTCATGTGTACATGCCCCTAGACTGTTTTTCAAGCCACCAGAGCTCAGATTAGAACCACAGCTGGCCATGAGGGATCTTGTTCCCTATGTATAGCACCGAAGTGCTGTGCTATGAGGCCAGCCCTGTGATTCTTATTTTACCTTTAGTAGTTTTCTGTATCATGTACGTGTTATTCAATAACCACATATAACCTCATAATCAGAAAAAGTCAAGCTATTTCCACATAAAGAAAGCATCTTTTCTGAGACCCTTAAAGATCAATATATTTAAAAAAAAATTACTTTTTTTCCTGATTAACACAAAAGGTCGATTGGATTGGCAAATCAGGTTTGGAGTACTCTGAAATCATTACCTAATATTAGGCTTTCATATTAATTTCAAGCTTACAACAGAGGACAGAAGTCTCACTGCTTTTTCCTGGTTCCAAAACCCTTCTGTAGGGCCTGGTGAGGGTCAAGCCTACAAACAGTAACAGATCATTTGTCATCTTTCAGTGTTTATGGAGATAATACCTCTCTAGTATGAATATCTGAAACTGCCTGCCTTACAGGGTGGATGTAAGGATTAAAAAAAAATATGAAAGCTCCTTGTAAATGGAAAGGATACAAAAAAAGAGAGTATTATTATTATTCTTATTTTGGGGATATTTTTTTTTTGGCTATAGGGCACGTGCACTCACCAGAAAGACAGAAAGGCAGAGAGAGACAGAGGGACAGAAAGTGAGAAATCACCCCCCAGGAGGGATGGCCACACCGCAATCCCTTCTTCTCCATTCTCCTTTCAGGATCTTGGGCACGTGCCCGGTGTGAGTTTAAGCCACCAGGTCTGGGACTCGAACCTCAGTCGACTACATGGGAATCCAGTAACATAGTCATTATGCCAATTGCTGCTCCTGACAGTATTATTTTTTAATATGACTGAATAGTGTTCCATTGTATAGACATATCACATTTTCTATTCATTCATCCATTGCTGGGCATTTAGGTTGATTTCAAATCTCGTCTATCATGAATAATGATGCAAGGAACATGATATTTCTTTAATGTACTGTTTTTTTTTTTCCTTTTGATATATATCCAGTAATAGGATTTGTGGATTATATGGCAGTTTTATTTTGCATTTTTTGAGAAAATTTTATTGCATTTTTCACAATGGCTGTACTAATTTATATTCTCACCTATACTGTGAAGGGTTATCATTTCTCTACATCGTCACCAATATTTGTTTTGTTTCTGTCTTATTGATTATAAGCATGAAAACAGGTGTGAGGTGATATCTCGTTGTGGCTTTAAATTCCCTTTATAATTAATGATGTTGAAGTTTTTTATTTGTTTGTGAAATTGAGAAATCACCCTTTCTCCTGGGGGATGGCCATGTCACAATCCCTCCTCCATTCTCCTCTTGGGATTTTGTGCATACATACACATGTGCCTGGCATGTTGATGTTGAACTTTTTTGAATTTAAAACTTGATTGGGACCAGCAGTTGGTGTAATGGCTATGTCATTGGACTCCTATGTAGTTGACCATGGTTCGAGTCCCAGACCTGGTAGCTTAAACTCATACCGGGCATGTATGCATATGTGCCCAAGATCCCGAGAGGATAATGGGGGAGAAAAGATTGTGGCATGGCCATCCCTCTTGGGGGGTGATTTCTCACTTTCTGTTTCTCTGTCTCTCTCTGTCTTTCTGGTGAGGGCATGTACCCTATAGCAAAAACCCCCCCAAAAAAAAAGCTCCATGGTCATTTGTACAGTTTTTTGAGTAGTGTCTATTGAGATCATCTGCTCATTTTATAATTTATAAGATAAATACATAAATTTTTGTTGTTGCTGAGTTGTTTTAGTTCCTTGTATATTCTGGATATTAATCCTTGGCAAATGTAGAGTTTGCAAATATTTCCAACCTGTTCTGTAGGTTGTTTCTTCAAATTGTTGATTGTTTCCTTTGCTGTGCCAAGTTTTTAGCTTGCTATAATGCCATTGGCCTTTTAAAAATTTTTTTCTTTTTTATAGCTTTTTGTCATAGAATGTGTGTGACTGCCAGAGACAAGAGAGAGGGAAAGTGAGAAATCATTCCCTATGGGAGTTGGCCATGGTGCAATCCTCTGCCCTTCAGTCTCCTCTCAGAATTTGGGGCATCCATGCACATGCACCTCTGTGATTTTCAAGGTAGCAGATCTGGGATTTTGACTGTAGTTGGCCACATGGAAGTCCAGCACCTAAGTACCACACCACACCAGATGGTGGTTCCTCATTTGTCTATTTTAAATTTTATTTCCTGTGCTCTTGAGTTCTTATCTAAAAATTATTGTCCGGCCTCATGTTGTGAGGCATGTTTTCTATGTTTTTTTTTTTAGTTTTATAGATTTGAGTTTTTACATCTGAGACTTTAATCCACTTTGACTTAATTTTTGTATATGATGAGAGGTAGTGGTCTAGTCCCATTCTTCTGCATATGTGCATACACATATGCTCCCATTCCCGTTATTGAAAAGACTGTCTTTGGGGCCGGCAGGTAGCATGGTGGTTAAGACAGCTAGACCCTCACATGGCAGACCATGGTTCGAGTCCAAGACATGGCAGCTTGCTTTCTCACTTTCTTTCTCTCTCTCTCTGTCTCTCTCTGGTCAGCTTCAAAAAAACTAATAAAAATAAAATAATAACAATGAATAAAATTAAATAAAAATAATTCTTAAAAAATAATGTGCATTCTTGGCATTTCTGTCAAAAGCCAGTTGATTGTAGGTGCTTGGATTTGTTTCTGGGTTCTCCATTCTGTTTTATTGGTCTATATGTCTGTT